TCTTAATATCATTATAATAATTGAAAACATATATATATTTATTGGTAAATAACATCAGGTTGTCTATATAAATTACTTCCCCATCCCTAGTCACGGTGTGTTCTCCTTTACTAATAAAAGAGAGTGCTAATTCTTAAAACCATTATAATAAAAAATAATATGATTTTAATCTTAATACTATTATGATAAAAATTAATGTGATTTTAATTTGTTCAGGTTGTCTATATAAATAAGTTCCCCTTCATTGTTCACAGTGTGTACTCCTAATTATAATCTGTACTTGTAATGAAAGTGTCTGATTCAAAATACCATTTGAATTGATTTTAAAAAAATAATAATAATATGATATTAATTAGTTCGGGCTGTCTTTATAAATAAGTTCGCCTTCACTGTTCACTGTGTGTACTCCGTACACTGTGCATGCTATGAAAGAAAGTTGTAATTCTTAATAACACATGATAACAAAACAATATAAAAATTATGATATGATATGAATTGGTTGAAGTTGTCTATATTAGTTCCCCTTCAATGTGTGTCAACAATATAATCATAAGACAAAAAGAAAATTAATACTATTTTTTGAAAAGATTTCTTATCTTTACCTTTAAAAGTGGCTCATTCTTAATACATTTACAATTTGTATTTTTAAAAAAAAATGATATCAATGAGTTAAGGTTGTCTATATAGATAAATTCCCATCACTGTTCACAGTGTGTCCTCCTATATAGTATTGTAGATTCCTTTTATGCTAGTACTTAATATCATCACTGATCATGAAATGATTAGCATGTATTTTAACAAAATAAAATAATATATTAGTTCAGTTTGAGTGTCTATATAGAAAAGTCCCCTTCATTGTTCACAGTGTGTCCTCCTTTATAGTACTGTAGATTCTTTTTATGCAAGTACTTAATAAAACTTATCACTGTCATGTTGCACAAATGGTGGTAAGGTGAACCAGTTCTAACAAATAATTGTAGATGACTTTCCTAAGTCATGAAGTCCAAAGTGAGTGAAATAGCTATGTAGAGAGCAACTTCTCAACAGATAGTTTTTATTGAATTAATTTTTGGAATGTTTAGTATGACCATTTTGTGGACAAGATTTTTTTTTTCATATTTTGAATATTTTCTCTTTCTTAGTCAAAGAAACTATATAGTTATTTATTTAAAGGTTTGTGTGATAGTGCACAAAGGTTACTTGGGGTCTTGGTTTATAAATATGTATACCTACTGAATATGTAAAAAGAGTAATCTTTTTACATATTCAGTAGGTATATATATTTATAAACCAAGACCCAAGTACCTATGCTAATGAAGCACCTACATGTAGCTATCATCAATTAAAAATCTAAATTGCAATAATGAAATCAGATTGAGTTTTGTAAAACCTTTCAAATCATCTTAAGTGTCAATCTAATTAAAAATAAATGTTCTGAAGCTGCTACCACTTCTCAGACATCTAACAAAATCTTATTCAGGGACATGTCATAGTGACCTTTCAAATAGCTAATAAAATCAACACCACCAAAATCTTGGCTTGTATTTCAGCTGTGTTCTTTTTTTCACAACCAAACCTTCAAGACCAAGGAGTTTTATAGTAAACAAAACTACGCCAAAGGTCTTGCTATGTATGAATTTTGTATGCAGGATATCTTGTAAAGTTAGAGCATTTTCATTTGCATTAATCAGGAAAGTATGGCAGATGGGTGGACATTCAATTTATACCACAATTTAGACAGACTACTGAGTATCAGAAATGTAAAGATGTAGCTATTGAACTATTTTTAGAATCATATGAGGAAGCTTCATTCTGATTGGCCAAAATTTTCATGTTTATTCATAATTGAAGGATTGCGTTGACAGGACCCTGTATAGGATATTTTAATATGTTTGAGAAGCCGTGATGGATTTGGATCGTCTAATTTTAATAAGGTTGAATAAGTGTTTACAAGTCAAAATAGACAGAGGTAATAATAGTGTACAATGTTTTTATAGCAGTGTTTACATACAATGTTTTTACTTTAAAATCAATCCTTGAATTTTTGTAGTAAAGTCAAGCTATAAACTATATTGTTATAGTATATTTTATATTACATTTGATTCAAGGGAATCAGCCAAGAAATGATGAGGTATTCTTTTTGAGAATGTTATTTGTAAAGTGTTAATTAGTGTTTTAGTGATCCCCTCCTTGTGTCTTCACTTTGTTTACCAATTGTATGATATCAGTCCTCCTCTTTTTTAATAGTCACAAAGTTGTATAACTATAAGGTATTATTCTGTTGATTTTCTGAGAAATGAATCTTTTTTACATGTACAGAAATATCAATGTATTTTGAATTGAGTTGTAGAGTTTACTCAATGTATAATATATAAAATACTCATGCAAATGAATAAAATAAATGTTTAATGCTATGGTTTTGTGTGTTTCTTCTGATTCACAAGAATTTTTTTTAGTCAAAAACTCAAATGAGCTTTTCTGATAGATGTATTAGTGTCATCATTTTAGTTACTGGTGTGGCATTTGTTGCCATTTTTAGACCCCTTTTCCTGAATCATGTGACAAATTTCAACCAAACTTGGCACAAAAATCTCTAGAAAAAGGAAGTTGAAATGTGTTCAAAAGAAGGGTTAAGTCCAATTGCAAGCAGAGAGAGAATGTAATAATTTATAGTGTAATAAAATTGGGTTTGATATTTTAAGAAAAAGAAAGCCAAAAAGACAGAGATGTGTAAGCTTTTCTTATACATGTATCATGTAGGCTTATGTCTGTAAAATTATGGCCCTTTGAGTCTTAAGGCTACAATGGGGCCTCAATAGAGATTTTAAGTGATTCTTAAATCTACCTAAAATGTAAGAAATAAAAGATTTAAAGAACAATGTCCTAACAAAAAGTTAGGTAATCCACATGAAGTACATCTTTAAAATTTTAAATGAAATTTTTTCATGCTCTAGTAATGGAAGATTCAGGGGAATATAGTTTTTGCTGTCAGTCTGTCTGTTAGCCTGCAAAAACTTTAACCTTCCCCATAAATTTTGAATGCTTGGAGCTATGGTTCTCATATTTCACATTAGTATTCCCTGTGACAAGACCTTTCATTGGGTACCAACACATTTGACCAATCATTCAACAGTTATGGCCAAGGTTTAAGTCTTTCAAAATTAAATCAAACTCCAAGGTCTTGATGGCAAAAATGTTAGTAACCCCCCCCCCCCCCCCAAAAAAATCTTTTCACAAGATAAAACAGAAGTAAGTTTTTCAAAATTAACTCAAACTTCAAGGTTACGGTGGCAAAAATGTTACTAACCCCCCCCCCCCCCAAAAAAAATCATCACAAGATAAACAGAAATCAAAAGTTTTTTCAAAGGTAGATCAAACTCCAAGGTCATGAGGGCAAAAATGTTGGTACAATGTACCCAAAAAAAGCTACTATCACAAGAAAATCAGAAATCTGAACGCCTTAGCACTTAACTTTTCAGAAGTTATGGTCAAGTTTTTTCAAAAGCAGGTCAAATTCCAAGGTGATGTCAAAAATGATGATAACCAGAGAAAGGTCTTGTCACAAGGAATACACCTGAAATATAAAGCCTTAGCAATAACTGTTCAAAAGTTATGGCCAAGGTTTGATTTTGTGGACAAACAGGCAGACAGACAGACTTAAATATATATGGCTCTGAATCCTTGATAACGGGAGCATAAATATACTTTAATACTCGTACATACTTGGTAATAAATACCGGATTTTTGCTCATCAGAGCCAAAGGCTCAGTTGAGCTTTTCTGATTGAAACTTGTCCGTTGTCTGTCTGTCGTTGTCGGCATTGTCTTTGTCAAGAACGACAACTCAGTAACAGCAAAATCATGATTAGTCTTCCTTACATGAAAGCACCCCAAGGCCCAAGGTAGTGCAGATTCAAATGTTCAAATCATGACCCCGAGGGTAGTACGGGACCACCCCAGGCGATCAAAGATTTACACAGGATTAAATAAAAAAAAGTCTTCTTTTCAAGAAAAGCAAAGCCTTGATTATATAGTTATATTTATACTGAAGTATCTTCAGATTTTAATTTGTTCAAATCATGACCCCCGAGGGTAGGATGAGGCAACAACGGGCGATCAAAGTTTTACGTACACTGAAAGTATATAGGAAAAATCTTATAAGGTCTTCAGATTTATTTTAATTTACCTTCGAAGGTAGGATGAGGCTACAACGGACAATCAAAGTTTTACATAAGTATGTAGGAAAAATCTTAAGGTCTTCTTCCGAAAAACAACAAAACCATGATTAGTGATAATTATATGGAAGCATCCTCAGATTCAAGTTTGTTCAAATCATGATACCTGAGGGTAGAGTCGGGTCATAATACGTATATCTTTAAAAATTTTATACAGGGAATAAATCTATCGATAAAGAACGACTACGATCAGCTTCCAGTGTTGAAACGTTGATACAGTTCCTGCATATTGATTTTTGAGCTGATATTGAGTTGATAAGGATATTTATTTGCTAGAGTAAATGTTTTCTGTACGTTATCACTAAGTATGTTACAAACATAATACATACCCTTTCCACATCACATCCTATATCAACCCTCGACTAACCGGAGGACCTTCGGTTCCCTGAATGATATTGGTTCTCGGGCTGACATAGGGTGTGACATAGAAAATTTGTGAAATGGAATCGTGTAAAGTGCCTGCTGTCAAAACAAAACCAAAAAAAAACACGATTTTTCAACATGAAACCTAGATATGATGCATTATTGTCCGAATAAGTAATTTCTATATTTAGAACCAAAGAATGCAAAGTTGATCTTAATTTGCAAGATTGATAATGCAAACTTCGATCTTAAAGCATGTTTCTTGTATGTTGAAAATGTTGCAACTTCACAGAATCATTTCAGAGAGTCTCTGAAACTGCATGGTCAGGTCTCCCTGTCAGGACAACACTGGAATGTTTACCTTCTCATGGAACCTGGGATATAGATAACACCCTTCCATTATTTAATTCGTACTCGATTTTCAACCATATTTGACAATCATGGCGGCAACATTGATTGCAGTGTTAGTGATCTGTGTGACTACGCTCTCGAAAACGGAGTCTAAAACTACTGAGTTTTCCTATGTAGATCATGTGTTTCATCCTCTTGAATTAATCGAAGATAAAATTCAGTTCCAGAATGAATTTACTGCGCTCCTTCAATCACAAGAATTCTGGGATTTTACAGAACAGATAAACATCAAACGTTCAGTACTGCGAAAAGCAGCACTAACTAAAAATAGTACCGCTTCTGCGAACGGCACTGAGAGTAAGCCAACACCAGCCGTAGGGAATGGGCTATTCAATTTTATCGGCTCTCTCTTTGGAAATGGTAATACTTCATCTCCAAACATTAGTCTAGCTGCTGCTCAGTTAGGCCAGATAATAGGAGGAGGAATCTCACAACTGCTTGCACCCCTGTTGTCTGGTCCCACACCGACTAACAGCTCTCATCAAAACGATACTGTCACCGTGGATATCATAAAGACAACACCAAGTGTACCACATTTATCATCGAAACCCTCAAACGGCGGGTTTCTACAAAGCATCGAAAATATTGTGAGCAATTTTTTACCAAAAAGTAATGTCACGCCGTCAGAGGAGATCTTTGGAGGAATCAGAGATGCTATTTCGGAATCAAATACTTCAGATACATGTAAACAAGATGCTATAATGGTTGCCTATGGTCTCCAAACTCAACAACCATGGGCTTTAAAAAGTGAGTGTTTGTGTTGGGGGTTTTTTCTTGTTGCATAAGATACCTTTTTGATTATTGGGTTATTTATTAAAAATACCTTTCTTTGTTTAAAAAAAATAATCGTTTTGCCTCACAATGTTGAACGCCTGAAAAAGTTAAATATTGACATGTGAATATAGGGATTAAAAAAAACAACAAGAAAACGAAGATGGCACCTCATTGCAATGTACTTCAAAGAAACCCTTTTCTCCAAATTATTTTATTGCACTGTCAATATTTCATTTCATTTGCATTCTTCTATTGTCACTTAACCTTTGACATCAAGTCAGATATTGAAATTATGTCCAATCTGACGTAAAAAAAAAAAACCAAATACTATCATAATGTCCGTTGAGACCAAATGAATTTCTTATCCTTTAGCCACCAACAATCTCTGTAAGTGATATAGTATTGAAACATCAATTGGCTCTATATATTGGACTATATATTTTAACCCACTTTTCAACTTTTTTTACGTTGACATTGCCTTCCATAAAGATGTGTTATTGTGGATTATGAATACGTATATGCCTATATTCAGAAAAATAAAGTTCAAACCATGCATCTTTTTTGCTGGGTGATGTTCTTTGAGCAAGGGCCAAATGTAAAGGTCTTGCAATGAAATTTACTCATGGATGTTTTCATTTAAGCAACTCATACTGAATGGCATCTTCGCTAGACAAGGGTTTCCGAAAGATGATTGAATGACGGGCATATTTGGATTTCAACTAAACAATTTTAGTGAACATTTTTGCATATAAATATTTGTATGCTTGTTTCAGGCCCGAAGCAACGATTTCAAAAGTGGGGGGGGGGGGGACAACTTTCCCAAAAAAATCTGCCAAGCAAAAATCCCAAATTGTGTGTGTGTGGGGGGGGGGGGGGGGACTTCCCAAAATAATCTACAAGCAAAAAAGAAATTAACTGTTGTGAGGGAGGGGGGAACCAGTATCTAAAACAACATTTACTATAGCAAAATACTATGCTCAGGAAAAAGTGAGAGAGGTGCACCCCCTTCTTCTCGGCCCCCGCGTTCTAAGGGCCTGTATTTAACAAAATACGCCAGATTCAAAATATGCAACAAAATGGGTTAAAAATGCATGATTTGAAGTCTACTTTTGTACTTATTGTACTCCTGGTATTGGTCAGGATTGCATGTGTATATTTCTTGTAGTGTTTGACGCCTCAGCAAAGATCCCCACGGATTTGCTGAACTTTGATATCGTCTGGTCAGGATCATACGATGAATGTTACAAAGAAGATGCGGTGGCTGGATTGTTTCTCCACCCCAGCGTCTATCTCCCAGCCGTGAAGCCTCGATACTGTACAGTACAGGTTCAGCTGCCGTTTCCAGGTCTTCCAAAAAGCGCGGTAATGTAATAAGTGTAACAATCATTGTAATAATGGTATTAACTTGCTAATATGCTAGCAGCTAAGTGAACTTCTAGTATTTATAATTTGGGTTTGAAATTTTTTTTGACAGTCTGCTTTGATAAGTGAAAAACTGTTAAAGTCGTGTCGTTGCTCATTTTTGGCGGGATAAATAGAATTTATTATTTTGGGGGAAACTCCCGAATTTATATTTAAATTTCTATTGCTTAATTTTGTACAAGTGAGAAAGGAAAACAAATAATTATCATATTGCAATAAAAATTAATTAATTTTTTTTTTTTACAGTTAACATCGAGTTCATTGCAGATTGGTACATGTTTACCCAAGTCCTGTAGTACTCAGGACACGACCATTCTCGCTAACCTTCGTAAGAACCACTATTAATAGAAACTTATAGTAATTTTAGAAATTTAGTAATGTTTTAAAATCTGAAAGTATATCTTGCCTTGTTTTCAACACCGATGAGGTGGTGTTTTTTTCAAGTGTTGAAGTCTCTTCCACTGGGAAATATATCCTTGTCTGCTTCCTTCGCCACATGTCCACCAACCCCTGACGAAGTACCGTACGAGACTAAGGATATAGCCATGATGTAAGAATGATAAATAAATTTGAAAAAAAGACACCAAGGGTGTTAAAACAATTTACACCATTATCAAGATGTATAAAAGTGATCAGGGGTGTTTTAGGAATACCTATGGAAACTTCAATTTTGAATACATTTTAGCGGTATACGTTTTCAGAACAATATGATTTTTCAATTCCTAGAAATTCCTGTTCAAAAATTTATCTGCAAAATAAGCAGTTCAGAGGGGTTTTTTTTTTAATTTTTTTAACCATATGCCAGTATAATTTGTTTTTTTTTTTCTTCAGAGTTCTGATGTCAGTTTTGGGTTTTATTATCGTTGCTGGTACAGCGTACGAGATCATTGCAATTGAAATTCCAAAGTTTGTCAACAGTCGGAAGGAAACACACAATGACACATTTCCAACAACTGTTGATAAAAATGGAACAACGAACGGGAACATTTACACCCTCAAAGGGAGTGCTGAATCCCCTCCAGCCTTCAACGATAAAACAGTGAACATTCAAATGTCTAAAGAAAAAAAGGGGGATACCAGGGAGAAGAAAAGTAAGAACATTTAACAGAAATACTCAAAGAGTTTACATGGCGTTATTCCGAGTGGAAAAAACGAGTTGGGGATGATAAATAAAATATTTCTAGTTAACAAGTAAACAATTGCAAAGTTTACAATACTTTGAATAACATTACAGATATCATCACCAGAATCTTGTTAGCCTTTTCTGTGTATTCTAACGGTAAGAAGATTTTAAGCACGTCCCAGCCTAAAGGAACTCTTTCTGCTGTTAACGGAATCCGATTCCTTAGCATGTCTTGGGTTATATTGGGCCATACCCTGGGCACTGGAATTGGAGTCTCTCGTAAGTCAGAAGTGGTATACTAGTAATGATATTTGTAGTCTTGTGTTAAATTTATTGTAGTGTACATTATCCAAAATGCTGAGGAAACAATCTGTTTGCGAGCTCACATACATTGTACTCCTTGTAGGTAACGCAGCAAAATATGGCCAAGAATTTTTACAAAGAGCGTCAAGTCAGGCCATTGCTAATGCTCTTGTGTCTGTTGATACATTTTTTGTCTTGAGGTGAGCTGATATTTATACTCTTCGAATTTAATCAAGATTATGAATTATGATATAAAGTAAATAAGACCTTTTTTGTTTGGCCTTTGTTATTTAAGATGTTCAAGGCTCATTTTTTGGGGTAATTTTACAGCGGACTCTTGACCACATATCTCCTCCTGAAAGAAATGAAGAAATCTAAAGGACGCATTAATTGGTTCCTGTTCTACTTCCATCGATACTGGAGGAAAGAAACAATATCTACATTCAGTATTTTATATATCCATAAGAGAGAAAGCACAGTGTTTTTTTTCTTCACTCATTTCCTTGTCATACTTGTCTGAATCAGAATAAGTGTATACTTGTAATTAAACAGATGGCCTGTCTACAGTTGTAAATTGCTCTATTCCTGAATTTTATCCCAGGTCATCAAATTTTGACGGCGTCCTCAGTTCAAAAATCCGACCAATGTAAGGTCTAACAGCATAAGCGTCGAAGAACATATCTTGGTTGAGGGTTAGGGTTTTAACAATAAAATTATCTGTAACATGGTTTTAATATCTCATTGACCATGCCCTTGACCTTTGATTTATGTCAGAGAATTGAATGAGGATGTATCGAACCTTTGACTATAAGAAACAGTTTGTTAAGGTTTGGATTTATTCCAATTAAGGTCCTGAGATCCTAGACAAAACATCAATTTCTCAATGACTTGACCTGTGTTGTGATCTAAAGATCATGACGCATCGTTAGGTTTTGGAAACTATTATTGTCTTTGAAATCGAAACCCAATTAAGTGCGTAAAATTGTAGTCTTGATACATTTTATGATATACACGGCGGGTGTGACGGGTCGACAGGGGATGCTTACTCCTCCATGGTACCTGATACCACCTTTGATTGTTTTAGAGGTCTGTTTTTGCTCTATTCTCGATTTGTGTTGTTTTAATGGACGTTTGAGCTTGATTACTGTTCGGTTTCTCCATTACTGTTCGGTTTCTCCATAATTCATATGTATATATGAAATATACCTGGAGAAGGGGGGTAGTACAAGGAGATGTTTGATGTTCATTGCATGCATCATAAGATAATAACGAAATAAACAAAGATACCCTTGCTTACTTGTGGGTTTATTCACAAATAAATTTTCCTGATGCCCCCCTCTCCATATTATTGAATCACGGAAATTTGTGAGAACGTTTCCAGATTATTTGAAGGAAATACATGTATATTTAGGTTCATTTCTCATTTAGACTGACTCCAATGTATATGCTTGTCATTGGACTATATACAACACTATTAAACCATGTGATCTTCGGACCTTTGCGCCCATCTGTATCTCCCGGCACAAAATGTGACGAGTATTGGTGGATGAATCTTCTATACATCAACAACTTTGTTGACAAACCAGAAGATTTGGTAACTACAAATGTAACGAAAATAGGAGATCCGAGATATTTGAATGAAATAGATTCCTCTGTTGACTATTGGTTTGCTTAAATGCTTCCTATCCTATTTTTAGGGCATTTATGGAAAATATTAATTTTTATCCCAATCTCTTTTTTACAGTGTTTGGCGTGGTCATGGTATTTGAACAACGATATGCAGTTCTACGTATTGAGTCCACTGATGATTGTTCCCTTGTTTTTGTAAGAATTCAATACCGGGTAATATCACCTTGAATTATACGATTGGGGGAGGGGGTATATACGTGTCCGGACAGAACAAAACGTTGTAATGGAGAAACATTGGACGCTAATTCTTGGAACAATGATTATTCATTACCATGATCCAAAATGTGTCCTGATTTGACCCAAGGTCATTCCGGCAAGTTCAAGGGCACTGGCATGAAAAAGTATAAAATTCGGGTCCGGTCTACAGCCCTCTAATGGAGAAACATTGGAAGTTCATATCCCAAACATAGATTGCCTATAACTTGCTTGTATGTCATGCTTTTGACCAAGTCATTTGATTAAATTCAAGGTCATTTTTAAAAAAAAATGTACCATAATTATTCCTGTTCTGACCATATATTGTTAAAGCACATATATTTCGCAAAGAGAAGGTAAGTGCTGACCTTGAACTAAGGTGTTTTTAACCAAGGACATTCTGGCAACTTCAAGGTTACTTTAAGAAAATTTTTATGGGTATTTTAACAAAAATGGGTGAGTGTATAATTTTGTGAGATCGCTCACACTACCTTTAGTATTATGGGACATAAGAAATAGACAGCATTTTACATATAAACAAGTCTACAAAGGTAATACCTTATTTACTTTTCTGTGCATCCATATATAGTTGAAGCTTTGTACTTTATTTACAGGGGTTGGCGTTTAAGACAAGGGAAATACCTAATTACTTTCTAAGCAGTCCGTAGTTGGTTGGCGTTAAAGAAATATATCTAAAGGACATTTATATAGGCAGTAATAATTGACGTTACAATATAATTCTGATTTTCTTTATTGACAGCAAAGAACTAATTGGGGTGATCATCTCAGTGGCCTTTCTATTAGCTGTTACTATCGCCTCTGGGGTGATTAGTTTTGTCTACAAGATGCCACCCACACCCGTTGGTGGAGGAGATGCGAGCACCGAGTAAGTGGAAACATTGAGCCGAGCGAAAATTTTCAATTTTAAACTTTTCCTCCAAAAAAAACTTGCTTAAAAATTCTTGTTAACATTTAAAATAGTTTATCCAAGTCACTTTCAATTAACGTGTTAAAATCTTAACATTTATGTTCAAGTATATATATATACAAGAACAAAATTTAGAATTGTATTTATCCGCCATTATATCAAATAAAATATTTTCAAACTAGCGATTTTATTTCCTGTTTCAGCCCTTCTCATTACTTTGCTTTATACTACATGCGACCCTATTGCCGTATGGGACCTTATGTTTGTGGGGTACTCACGGGATACATCCTATACAAAACCAAAAACAAATGTCGAATCAACATTGTAAGTACTGTTCTTTGCTAGTTATCAACACAGTATGAGTTGTAAAATATAAACCAATATTTGTATCATTTTTTAAAAAAAAAAATATTTTTGCCAACCTCTGTCTGTTTTACATGTTAATAGTCTGGTTAACGAACCCATCTTCAACCGGTTTTAAACTCCTTTATTAGCGAACTTGAGCTGCATTATTGTAAGTTGTGATGTTTTTCGATCACATTATCCAGCAGCCCTCTGTCTAGTTGTCTCCCGTCCGTAAACTTTCCACATTTTCAACTTCTTCTCTAGCACCTCTGGGACAATTTTAACTAAATCATTATGAAACGTCTACAAGTTAAGGGCTTCAAAAGTGATAATAAGCTTCTTGACAGTTTATTCAAAATTATTCAAATCGTGGCCATCCGGGGAGGGGGGGGGGGGGAGGGGGTTTAGAGTGCATGTGGACGGGTTCAAATTATAAATGTTCAAGTAATACCCCTGAGGTGGGCTATCATAGGGAAATCAAAGTTTTGCATAGGAAGATGTAGGAAATTATTTTTAAAAATTAAAAGAATAACGGGGATACTAAAAATCACATTATACTGCAAAGGTTCCAAAGTAATTTGGATTCATTTGTGAGGGTGTGTGAGATGGTGTGCGTGTTGGGGTGGGGGTTATTTCTTTAATTATGGATCATGGGGTTGGTCTAAAATCCTGGATAAAATTTAAAATTTAACATAATGCATGTTTACGGGGAAGTGGGGACTTTGAAAATGCAATGTCATGGTTAACAAATTGGTAACGAACATTTTATGTTGCATGGATTTAAGTTTGGTTAAGAAATCCAAGGGAAATAAATGGGGATCTTTTTAAACTATTCTCCTGAAGAAGTCCAGTTCGAATATGAATCAAGTGTAGCCGATGAATCTCTTGTTTTACTTCCAGTATTTGAATTTCTTCGGATGGGCAATTGCTACAAGCTGCGCATGCGCTGTTCTCTATGGCCTTTATGGTGCCCTTAAAGGAGATGATCTTCTAAATGTTGAGGAGTCAGCTGTATACAATGCATTGCACCGAAGCGTCTGGGGAGCAGCGGTGTGCTGGGTCATCTTTGCATGTGCAACTGGAAATGGCGGTAATTTTTAAAATGTTTTATTGTTTTTGTTAAATGTCATAGCTTTGATAGCACTGGAAGTTGTGGCACATTGACTGTATGACTTCTCTGAAACATTCAAGGATTCATCAACACAATACTATCCTGGAAGGTGTTTGTACCGCTCTCTCGACTATCCTATGCGGCTTACTTGATTCACTTGATCATCATTTACGCCTATTTCCTCAGTCGTCGGATGCCAATCTACATGACTGACCTGGAACTGGTAAGATCAAGTTAAAGTTTTAGTATAGATCAATACATTTCAAGTCAAAATCCTCTTTTTTTTGTTTAACAATATTAATGTATTTTGCAGGTATACCTGTTCCTCTCTAATCTGGTTGTGTCCTACGGTGCTGCCTTCGTGGTGTCGCTTTTGTTTGAGTCCCCTTTTATGGCCCTAGAAAAAGTTATCTTCCCCTCAAGAAATAGAAAATAAATTTTCTTGATCTTACTATTCCCTAGAATTCATACCGGTATATTTTAGTTTATAAATTCATATGAATTAATTTGAAAAATAAAAATAAAATAACGTAAATTTAATTGATTCGAAGCAAAACCTATTTCAGCGCTGGACATCTATGCAACCCTAGGGATTTCCAGCCACAACTCTCCAGGGGAGCGGGATAGACAGAAAAAAAATAGTGTTGGGTCCGTGATTCAGTTATTGGGGATTCAATCTTAATAGGACATCAAGAAAAATTTGCAGGGTTTACATGTATGTAGTAAAAGAATTAAAAAAAATTGTCAGTTCCACCTCTGTTTTTTGCAAAATTATAAGTGTACCCTGACAATCAGATGCAGAGACAAATAAATAACAACTAAGGCCAACTTTAAAATATTGTTTGCCTGCCAGGATGAGAAAATTGAGTCGGTAGGTAGGTAAGAAATTTTTTTTCAAAGAAAATTTCAAAAATCAATGCTGAATTTTCAAAATCTATTTTCCGGAACGCATAAAAAAAATAATTGCTTCCTGGAGGTTAAAAAAAAATTTGAGTCGGGCCATTATTATCCAGTCGGTCGGGAGAGGGCAACCAAACAATTTTTTAAAGATGGCCTAACGAATGTATACATTCACTGAAGAAAAGGGATAGAAATCGGAAATAGTTAATTGATTGGTTTTGGATTCACTTGTTTTGAAAGTTCAACTCTCAGATGTTATTCATAGAAACAATGGTAATTAATCCTTAATTTCATTCGTAAATCTGCTTGCCAGAAATCTGTTCAATTTTTGTGATGCTAGTATTTAAATAAGATGGGTAATCAGTCAAGAATACGACAACAGAAAAGGGTCCACCCAGCCGGATTTTTGGGGTATTGAATTCATAAAGTAACAAAAAAACTTACTTTGGACTTTCCTAAGAAGCATAGATCCTTGGTGAGGGTAAAAACTAACTTATATAGAAGGTTCTTATATATTCTTTTCTGTTAAGGAAAACGGCCTGCCCATGACACGTGTTCAGTGTAAATACATGTACATGTATGAAGCTTTTTCAAAGAGGAAAACAAATAAATCTATAAGTATATTTATAAAAGTACATACATGTATTGTCTTATCATCGTTTACAAGATCTGTAGTTACGAGGGGTACGAGTGAGTCCCTAATTATGATTTGGACAGTTTATACCATACAGGGCCAAACATTTATTATCTGCAATAAGCCCTCTCTGATTTTTTTTAATCTGATATTTTCAGGAGAGGGCTAGCCCTCTTTCCCTCCCCCCCCCCAAAAAAAATCGGAGAGGGCTACATTATTGCAGCTAGACCCACGTCAGTATTGGGCAGGGGGTGGGGGCTGGTCAACCTTACAGAAGTGCTTGACAAGCAAAGAAAGAGGTCATCAAACGGAATTTTGAACGTTAGGTGTGTTTTCTACAGCATTTGGAGTTGAAGAGTTCCAATACTGAAGGAACCGTGTGCTATATTTTTATGTCTATATATGGTGTTGTACACTTCTTCTAAAACAAGTTTGGATTTAAAAAAAATCTACAATGTATGTTTGGTAATTTTGATATATTTTTTCTTTGAGTCATTTGAAAATTTTCATCAGTTGATATCTTTTCAAAACCCCTGGTAATGCATGCTGATTTTTTGCCTATGAACATCTGATGGCACTATAATCTTAAATTAAAAATATCTTGAAAAATTATTGGTAGGTAAGGTACATTGCGTATGTCCTTAAAGTACATACTGCTAAAATTATTAGGCGAATTGGATACGCTCCCCGTGCCCTACCCGGTTCCCACGGGCCTGCTGTGGAAATTATTATAATGCTCCCTTTGTGGTTGCCTTTTTCCCGAAGAATTTTTATTAGGTTGCACACCCCTTCAACTGCGAACTGAAATTGCTTCCTACAGGCTTGTTGACATTGGACATAATGTAGCCATATTTATTACATGTATATAGCCGTGTATTACTGTTATAGTTTTTTTTTTTAAATAATGTGTAAATAAACATTTGTATAAACCCTTGGTCATTAAAATATCATGTTCTGTTCATTCTTGATTAAGGCTTATAAGGAAATATCTTTTTCGGCAAAATTTATTCTATCTCCTCATTTTTATTTTTACTTTTGATCATTTTTTCAGTTTTATAACCATTGATTGACTAACCAAGTACTATCTTCTTTATATAAGTTTAGTGGATTTGGATAGAAGCTTTAGAATATTGCGTTAGAGTTAACCCCTTTTTCACGCCAATGTTGTTGTTGTTGGGGGGGGGGGCAGATTGTGGTCAATGGAATCCGATACTCAGTAGTTAATGTTCTTGTAGCTTCAATTCATTTATACAACGAAAAACAAAAATTAAATCTCCCCTATCTGCCTTTATTCCTCTTGAAAAGGATAAGACTCTTATATAGACATGATGTCCAATCCACAGGCACTTATTATCGTTTTGAAGGGGGCAGCCAAAAAAAAAAAAATACATGAAAGAACTTTACAAGCAATCAAAAACAACAAACAAAAACAAGAAGAAATAGAAAACAAAAAAAAAACAACGGAAAATTGTCCAGATTGAAAAATCCTATTTTGACATCTGCAGAATTTTAGATTGAATGGTGAAACAGGTTAGTTATTCATCGTATCTATTATGACCTCTCATTGAACTGAAGTTTGTGAACACATGGTAAGATGATTGAAAACAGTAATGTTTAATTATTTCTGTGGTACCCAAAATTTATAAATCCAAATTTCAGGGATTGACATTTTGGATAAATCAACCTTGGATACCATGAAGGGGTGCTTTCTATTTTCGATTTAAATTATCATTAATCATATACTTTTACATAATTTACTATATAAAATGTATCTATAATTATGAAGTTATCATGTTGTAAATTTTGAATTTATTAGGTGGGATAAATGCAAAAATAACATGGAAATTCTGCATTTACCTTCACCTATTAAATTAAAAATTTACAACATGATTAAGTCATCCAAAGCATGTAAATTTATGATAAATGTACATGTACTTTGAAAGGAATTGATTCTATGAGGGTCAATTACAGGTGTATGCTAGCCGCAGATCTGTAGCTCGCTAGTCTGAAAAAAATTGGGATGGACGGCCAGCATATGGTCTTTCAATATATTTTTTTTCCCAGGAGAATTACGGTTCTGCGGCTAAATATTACTACATAAATAAGGAACGCTGACTATGGAAAAGCTGAAGTACTAGTCATCTCGCCTGTTCTATAAATGAAAATAATGTGAAATACTAATTTTAAAAAAATGTCTTCAAACTTTGATGCTAAAAATATGTCTAAAAATTTGAGGATGGTGAAAGGAACTCTATTTATAAATAAATGTGATGTTTCTACTAAATGGAACTCTCCGTAAATTGTTCCAAGTACAAGGGTGGTCCTGTTACTTGAAAAAAAGGTGCATAACATATTTTGGCTTGCCTGAACCGGTGGCTCAAGCGAATTTTTTTCTTATCAAACTTTGTCCGTTCTCTGTCGTTATCATCGTCGTGAACTTTTTTTAACAATTTCATCTTCTTCTCCAGAACCACCAGGCCAATTTCAACCAAACTTGGCACAGGTGAAAGGGATTCAAGTTTATTTAAATGAAGGACCATACCCTCTTCCAACAGGGACGTAGCGTCGTTTTTGAAAAAAGGGGGGGGGGCTGAGAAAAAAAATCTTGTCTGAAAAAGTTTGACAAGCAAAATATGAAAATTGTACAAACTCGAAAATCCTGTTTTGTATGTGTACGGTATGTGTGAGGGTGTGTGTGTGTGTGTAGGAAGGGGGAAGGTTCCAAAAGGAAAATTGTACAAACTCGAAAATCCTATTTTGTATGTGTGTGTGAGGGTGTTTGTGGATGTGTAGGTGTGTGTAGGGGGAGGGATGGGTAGGTTCCAACTTCTTTTGGAACCAAATTTTATTCTACATTACCACATTATCCTGATTTGACTTTACTGCAACAGAAAGTGTGGGGGTTGGCAACTGGCCTTTCAATGTACCTGCCTGTCCAAGGGGAGATAATTAAGAAAAAGTAAAAATTGGGTTGGGTCATTTAAAAATCTTCTTTTCAAGATCCACCGGGTCAGAAAAGTTGAAACTTATATGAAAGTTTTTTTCTGATAGAGTAGATTCAATTTTCTTTTTAAAGCGTGCCCGGGGGGGGGGGGGGGGGGGGGTTAGGGGGGCATGGTAGGCAATTCAAGTTTTACTTAGGAAAAATTTTGATTTTTTTTCCAAGAAAAGCAGAGCATAATTAAGCAGTCATATTTATTTGGAAGCATCTTCAGGTAGTATATGTATATTTTCAAGTTTGTTCAAATCATGACCCCTTGGGGTAGGGTTGGAAAACAATCAAAGTTTTACAGAGGAATACATAGAAAAATCTTTAAAAATCTTCTTCTCAAGAACGACCATGATTAGTCAAGTTTATTCAAATCATGACTCCGGGGGAGGGGGGGGGGCTACAATGGACAATCATAGGAATACATAGGAAAAAGAATCTACTGATGAAGAACAAGAAGGACCATAGTTACTCGGTTGAGCGTTGTGGCCCATGTGCGTCTTGTTTTTGTAATACTAGTAACATGAACCTGGAAATTACAGAAAATTTGTGCCTCTGTATATAATATTAGGCCAGGGAATATAGTGTGATCTTTAACATGGTGCTAAGCCTAGCTTTTTGGTAAGCTGAAAGTGTGAATATTTCAATCATTAAAACTTTGAAATTTGACAAGTTAATAGCTAGGTTAATATCTAGTTAAATCTCGTGTATCCAAAATTTTGTAAAACTGCAATTTATTATTATCATAATTGCTTGGAAGTAATACATTTTTGAGTTTGGTCTGAACTGACAAATGCATTGATTTTAAATCGAAGTGTGTAGTTTTATGGTGACTTTAAAATGAAAACAAATTATCAGGAAAAAACGATATGAAAGGCCAAACAAGTTTAACAAGGTTTTCCCAGACTATAACTTGAAATTGTATGTTCAAATCTAAAGATAC